AAAAAAAAAAACAAACTACAGTGTGTGGTGATGGGAATGAAGGCCTCAGCCAGCCGGTGCTACTGTGTGGCATCCTTATATGTCTTGGAAAGGTTTTGGACAACAAATAAAGAAGTTTAGATAATCTGAATAAACTGTTGGCTTGTTTCTAATCACATCACTGCTCATGCTTCTTCATCTGTCAGACATTGTTCCAGCAATGTCACCATGCTCCCACGTCTCTTAAATTATGGACAGTGTCATCATAACCACAGAAATGATGGTCAAAACTACAAAAACCCACACTGGTGGAACTAACAAAATATGATAAATGTATAAATACCTTAATATGTGTAAAAAAATAAAAAATAAATAAAAAGGCATATTCATTTAAACAGCCACTGGCCGTAAAAGGTGGCCATGGAGTGATAATGGGCTTTGATTTCTAAAAAATAATTGGAATGTATACTCACATTTGTGCTCGTTTAAAAGCACAATCTCTATCTGGTTTGCTAAATAAAATTTAAAAAAAAGTAATTTGTAATAATTATACACTTATATTTGTTCTCTCCTTCTCTGCAGTACTGTATGTGCATGACAGAAGGCATCCTCCTCTTCTCAGCAGAGGGATCTCCCTTCTGCTTCAAGTCTCGGAAGGGTAAAGTCCGCCTCCACTGGTTCTGTCAGGCTCTGGTCCTAATAGCTGCCGTCACAGGGTTGGGCTTCATGGTGGCCAGCAAGAACGTGTCAGAGCGCCCCCACCTGGTCTCCTGGCACAGCCTGTTGGGCACCTGCACCCTGGCTGCCACCGTGCTGCAAGCAGCTTGTGGCATCTGCATGATCTTCCCTAAACTGCTGCGTCTCTCCTCCTCCCCACCCAGGCTGAAGCTGTACCATGCCACCTGTGGCCTTGTGGTCTACCTGTTGGCCACCGTGACTGTGATGTCAGCCATGTTCTCAGACTGGTTCCAGGCCACGGTGAAGGGGGTGGCATGGTGGGCCTTCCTCCTGCTGCCCCTTTTCCCTGCCCTGGTTGTGATGAACCAGATCACTAATGCCTACCTTCCCCGCAAGAAGATGACCAGCTAGGGAGCGCATAGCGTGGGGCAGATGAAATCTTCACTGTACTCAGGCCCAGGTAATCCGATGGAAGAGTCCTTCATGACAGCAGCCTTTGGAACTATAATAACTGAAGCAAAAGGCTTACTGGTCGTCCCATAGACTGCTGAAGAACATGAAAACGTGGAATCTGTCCTAAAAATGGCTTTCTGTAGGGAAGTTCTCAAACCTGGAATTTAGCTTTACTTGACAGTTTGTCTGCAAAGGTCTGTACCCTCAAATGATGTGTTTGTGCAAACATTTTATTTAGGCCCTCCACTCATCTGAATGTGTCAAGTCAGTGTAGAAGTAGGAACTGAAGTTAGGTTGTTTTGTGTCATGATATTTTAGGGTACAAGATAAGCATCTTGGGCAAAGGGTTTTAATTTGAGGTGAAGACATTCCGAGGTTGTGGGCACAAATTTTCCATAATGTTACTTGTGACACCTCCTGAGGTCCACAGACTGTCGGCATCTGGTGACCTGTAGAAGTGTCACTTTGGCATCTTTGCCATTTTCAATCTCTGACTCTTTCTTAAATGAGATTTATACTACAGTTTTAAAAGAAACCATTGATGTTATGCAGGATTTGCGAACAGCCTTTCTGAGTGGCACTGCAAAACACATGGGCACTGTATGGTTTGGTTACAAACTACTGGAGGCAGTCCCATAGTTGGGGCGAGTAGACCCCTCTGCACCACCTCCATCCGTTGCCTGTTCAGAGGAGTTTTTGCACGGGTAGTGAATGCAAAATCCTCTGATGGATGCTGCATGTAGACTGGTTTCTGAAGGGACTACAGCTGTTTGTGTGAGGACACAGCTTCAGCCTTCAGTAGAAGGTGATGTGGATGATTATGTACTAGCCTGTAAATTGTATTTATTATTTATATGTATCATTCATTTATGACATTTCCATGTGTCTGTGACGACACCTTACAGCTGCTACATGAAGCATTTTAACGTGAGACTTCCGTCAATCAACACTGAATCAGATTGAGCCAAATGATTCATAGCAACAACCAAATAAGGAATTAGCACCCATTTCTATTCTCTGCTTCACTCGGCCTCTTTAGCTCTTTGTTTTGGTTTTATGGTACATTTACTTTTTCACGGCTGTCATCAGCCCAAGCAGTAAAGCTCTGATTAAACCACTGTACCTGCCCAACACCAGGCAGCAGACCTCCAGTGTGTGACTTGAGTCAAAGTCTAATTTACACTGAGTTCGTTTGTTGTAAAGGTTGTTTTATCTAATGGCTTCTTGTGTTTGTTCAGATTTTTAGGTAATTAACAAAGACAATGTAGTAAGATTCCATTACAGTGAAGCAAGACGAACTTCTATGTCATCAATACATCTGAAGGGAATGTTTTTTGTGTATAAAGTCTCAGAAAATTCTGAAAAAAATAAACAGCAGACCAGAGGACCTAACTGCAGCTTTAATTGACTGCCCAAGAGTTGTAGGTCTTTACTGCAAACAGTGTAAACAAATCAAACCACTCAAGAAACTATTGCTTCAAGACAGAAAGCAAAAATGTTTTTGAAGTAAGAAAAGTAATACCAGTATTAATGATGAATTAGCATTAATAGTACGGGCTCTAGTGAAAAGCTTCATGTAGCACCTCTGGTTTATGAGTGGAATCCTCCTTTTAGTCTGTATGTGCATTTGGCCCCTTCTTGTCCTACAAATGCTTGTTTGCTGACCATTTTTTTGTGTTGCATATGTTATAAATAGGAAAAATAAAACTGCACTCATGCTTGGGTTGCTCTGCCATGCGAGACCACCGGCACAAGCTGTCTTCTTGCTAAGATGTCATCACTTAACCAATTCTGTCAATACTCACAAGAAAGAAGCTTCAAAGTTCTGTCTGATTTGCTCTGTTCTCCAGCAAGTAATACCAGTTCAGATGTCAACAGACAACTGTGACATTTACAACTTGTCAACTATTTTCAGCCTTCAAAGTAACCTTTTGTCTGTCTGTACAGGGTGTGTAAGGAGTGGAACACAGCTTTGCAGCCAAGGACTGTCTGACCGGCTGAATTTAGGGCACAAACACATTGCTGTGTAGTTTTATAGAAAAGCAGCTGCAGAACGTGTCATTTGGGACCACAGTGATCTGGACAAGAATGTGGACTATTTTAAAATGGTGTTAGAGAACCTGATGTACAAAGACCTACTGGATGTACTCATCCTCTGCAACCTCATCTCAACCACCTGTCTTCATTGCTCCTGACTGGCTTACGCAAATGTAGATAAGGTAAAGAAAAAAAAAAAACTACAGTGAAGGTGATGGTGTTGAAACAGAACATCTGGTGTGGGGTGCAAACTTAAACAAGGAACCAGAAAGCCTCTCTAAGAATTTATATGATAATTTCAGATGGTTAAGTGGGTGGATGGACGATTCAGAGCACACAGTGCAGTTAGGTTTGTAAACTTTAACCTCAGCATCGTTCCCTTTTTAACAACATAACAAGCCAGTTACAAATCACTGGATAACCTTCAGACAGCAAGCAGGCTCTACTGTCTCTGACACAATACTGCAGGATAATTCAACATATGTGCGTTCACAAAACGCATTCATCACATGTAGAATGCACTCAATTTCAGATGTGTGTTCACTGGCAAATTAAAAAGTATTTCGACCTTCATGTTAAACATTTATTTCAATGCACTACTTTGGGCTGACGGCCGTTAACTGCCCGTCAGTGTTCATGTTGGGCCAGTGTTGATTTTAAAGCCTGTGTTGGCCGATGCCAGTATCAACTTGAATCACTGTATGTAATGCAATAAATGTACAAAAACGCACTTTTTATGCTCATGTTCAATTTGTATTTTCCTCGACGAAACAGGAGAACTCCAGATTCTGTGTGGATCATAGAACTTTGTTTGAGACTCGTGGAAACCTTTGACATCAGGGCTTGCTAAGGTGTCCCCTCATTTAATGGTATGAATATTCTGTGTCAGCATTCTGAGCACAGCTGGCTCACAGCTACAAGCATTGTATGTTAAGCTCACTACTCAAGACTATTGTTTGAGCCCAATTAGAGTTTGTGATGGTGTGTATTTATTTGATTTTGTCAGCACGTTGCTGCTATGAACTTTCCGTGATATATATAAAAAAAAAGTACATTTGACCTTGAATTTGTTTTTATTTCCAATGACACAAATCCTCACTTAAACACCAGTTTTTATTTTTTTTAAGTTTCTTTTTTTGCTGTTGCTACTGGTTCTGAAGGTGTCATTTAATGTTCCTGGCTAACTGACACACCAATGTGACAGGTGTGTAATTGTTTGACAGTGCAGAAAATTGTCTGTGTGAGAAGAAATACTTTTCTCCAACTGTGAACGATAACAGACAGAAACTGAGAGCAGAACACTTGCACCAGTTTCTCCAGCTACAGAAACAGAATGTAGCCCACAAAGCAGCAACATGTTACTCTGACATTCTTGCTTCATGATTTTAAAGGGTAGCAATGCCACTATTTGATATTATTGTTCACAAATCCCATGAAAAGACACAAACCAACAACAAATACAAATTACTTAAAAATACAATTTATTTTGACTCAATCCCACATACATCATAACGTCTTTTTTAAAGGGTGAAAGTACATCTGTGACCTACTTTTAACGATCTGTGTCTTCAGTAGGAGTCACTGGTCTCAGGACAGGGCCACAGACAGGGAGTGGAGGCAGAAATTCTGGCAGACGGTTTTTGATCTTTTAAGTTAAACCTTATCTTACAATGAATACAATATTAACATGCTCTGAGAGTCTTTGTCAGTGAATTTAGTTTGCTCAGTTGTGGTTAAATGTTCAATAAATACCCAGTAGAACTTTCAAGACTCTCAAAGAGTGAATAATTAAAACACATTCATCACATTTAAACCGGCACATCAAATCTATCAGAGAAAAGTTCACAGTTAGGAGTTAGGACCTGACGGTTTGTCCTCACAGATGAAGGTGACGGAGCTGTTCAGCAGTTCATACATGTTCACCTCCATCACCTCCGCTGATGATCTGCCCTCTCTTCCACCTGCCAGAGCTACAAACACCTGCTGGCCAGTTCCCAGCTGCCTCTGCTCCTCAGGAAGGGTTGATGCTCCTTCCTCTTTGCTCCCTGTTGAATCTGCTGAAATCACCTGATTGGACAGAGAAGTTGTATATTAAATGTTTAAATGCCTTGTAAAAGGTAAAAGCACACTGCTCTGTTGGAAACGTTTTATGATTTTGCACTTTGGCAGCAAAAACAAAGAAGGTTTTCATCAACTGGCAGCAGCGGCAGACCACCTGCAGTGACACCTCTAAGTGGCCAGCTGCTTTGGAGGTTCGGCAATTTTAAAAGCATATTTTTAGAGTAACCAGGAGACCAAGAAAACTTTTACAAATGCACTACAACAGCCTTATTAAGGTTTGGGACCCCAAAACTTCCAGTGAGTTTGAAAGGCGTGTTTAAATAAATACATAAATAAATAATCACCAAATGATGCCATTTATCAGCCAGAAACTATAAAAATATAAAGAACTGACAATTTTTCAACTTTCTGACCGTCCTTGAACTAATCATGAGCCACATGTAACCAAATAAAATTCTAAAAAAAAAAGAATAACCAGCAAAAAAAAAAAACATACCTAAGCAACAAAATTAATGCAGCATTTGTCAACAACAGTGTACATGGTTGCCAGCAAATTGGAAGACAGTCCAATGAAACAGCATTTGCCCCCTTCCTGATGTCTTCTATTTTCTCTTATTTGTCACACTTAAATGTTCCAGATCATCAAACTAATATTTATATTTATTTAATAACAGACAGAGAAAATGCACAAAACACAAAATGCAGTTTTTAAGTGATGATTTATTAAAGATTTATTGAAACCTGTATCATCCCCGTGAAACGGTAATTCCTCCCTAAACCCAATAACTGGTTGGGCTCTTAGCAGCAACAGCTGCAGTTAAACATTTGTGATCCCTTGTGATCGGTCTTTTACATCACCATGAAGTAATGTTGGCCCACTCTTCTCTACATAACACTTTTAATTCTGCGACATTAGATGGTTTTTGATCATGAGCTGCTCTTGAAGGTCTTGCCACAGTGTCTGAAATGGATTCAAGTCTGGACTTTGACTCAGACATTTCAAAACCTTAATTTTGTTCTTTTTGAGCCTTTCAGAGGTGGACTTGCTTGTGTGTTTTGGGTCATCTTCATGCTGCAGAACCCATTTACACTTGAGCTTTAGGTCCTGAACTGATGG